TCTGATCAAAGTTTTTGTGTTCCAGCTGTTGCCTGATCTCTGAAACAAACCTTGACAAAGAAATTGCAGCAGGCTCACTGTCCATCACGAAATTACACTTAAGATGATTGAGGAACAACAAGAAACGTACAATCTCTTCAGCAAGCTTCCTGCTCACTATATTCCCTTTCCCTGGTACTGCAAGTCGTATCTTGCTTAGGAACAAATCAAGACCTGTAGCGTGTCATGTCAGAGCTACCTGGTAGAGTCGCAATTATGGATGAAATCATCTTTGTCGCTGTCTGATTACGAGTTGTTAACTTGGTCCGTGAATAACATGTGATCTAGCATTCACATAAGCTGGGTGTTGGAGACCAATGAGCAGTGCTAGAGACACGGAAGTGGAAATCTCAATTCCGTGACTCTACGAGTCTTGCACTTAATTGGTGTCTTGTGCTGCTTTTTCCACTTTTTGTGTTCTACTGGCGACTGACTCCGTAATTAAGAGTACTTTCCATGGCCTTTGTCTTGTCATTTCTTTCGTTGATCTCTGTCTTATCCTTTCTTTCCTTGGTCTTTGTCTTTTCCTTTCTTTCCTGATCCCTTGTCATCTCCTTTGGGATCTCCTTTGACCACACTTTGGTACTCTCCTCTGGTGGTACCTTTTCCTTCTTGCTCCTCTTCTCTTTCTTCTTCACCTCCCTTTCAATATCTTCCTTCTCTTCTCCTTCGGTAGATCCGGAGGTCGCCGATGTCTCTTTTGTCATCCTGCGTCCGCGTTTCAACTTCAGGTGCATGTCGAAGTTCTGCTGGCTTCCTCCTCTTAGCTGCTTTTGCTTTTGGGTCTGACCCTGCAGCCTTTGGTTCTGGCTCTGCAGCCTTTGGCTTTGGTGCCACAGCTTCAGCTGTTGCCTTGGCCGTGGCAGACATGTAGGCTGCCAACCTTTGAAGCCTTGCATTTTCTCTCTCCCATCTGGTAGAGCTTGAAGTTCCTTTGCCGGTCCTCCAAAGACTCTCCAGCCTTGGGTGTAGGTGGAGGTATGGGGTTCCTGATGTCGAGCTCCTTGGGCCTTGCTTTGGGCTTTGCTTCTGCTTTAGCCTCTGGCCTTGCCTTTGAGGTAGGCTTAGGTCTTGGCTTTGGTTGAGGCTTTGCCCGCTTGGCCTTTGGGAGGATTTGCACCTTTGCCTTGGGCTTGGGCTTGTAGGTTGGCTTGATGCGGATGCGGTCCATGATGGGGAGGAGCTTCCTGGACTTCTTTCCTTCTTTGTTCTTCTTATCTTTTCGGCGCTTCCTTCTTTCCTTCTTTTCTTCCTTTCTCTTACTCCTTTGCCTCCTTTTGAATTCTTCCATCTGCTCGTCTTCCTCTGGTACATCTTGATCTCGTAGTGCTGGTAGACGACTTTCTCTTTCACCTGGCAGGAGGTCTTGTTGGGGTTCTTCTTCAGGAGGGTAGTACTCTTCGATTTGGAGGTCCAGTTCAGGCATTTCCTCGGGCAAGTCTTGAAGGGGTAGAACAGGTAGTGGTAATTGCACTCCTTCTGGATCGGGCCGTAGTCGCCGTCCTGAAACAGGTAATTGCCATCGTTCTGAATCGTGTAGGTCTTGGTGTCCTGAATCGGGTAGGTGTTGCTGTCCTGCTGCGGGTAGGTGTTGTTCTTCACTTTCACACTCTTCAGGCGCATACCTTTTTCCACTTCCTGAAATACTTCCAACTCAGGGTCTTCGCTGCGCTCGCTTTCCTCGCCGCCGTACTCGGAGTAGTCAGCAGCAGCAGCAGCAGCAGCAGCAGCAGCAGCAGGAGCAGCAGCAGCGCCCTCAGCTGGAGGCATGGCATAAGCTAGGGAGGGCAGCGCGCAGGTGCTCCGCTACCACGTTGATTTTTCTGCTCTGCTTGCAGACTTGAGCCAACATATTATGTTGACAACTTTGTCATACCACAGTCCAACCAAAATGTGCTTGCGCATGCTGTTCATGGCACACCTGAAATCTGTACTGAAATCACTATACAGCGTGTTGGGCATGGGGGTGTACACACATAGTTACTAAGGTTAACGTTTATGCAGGGGGCCAGCTTTTCGGAAGACTGCCCAAACTTTGTGTTCAAGCGCTGCGATCTTGCGAAGCGTCGGGTGGCCTCGTGACCGACGAAGCTGCTGAGGCCATATCCCTTTACCTTGACCTCCTTGTTAAAGGGCCTCCCAGGCTGGTGACCCGGGTGACGGCGCAGCCGCTTTTCCTCTTCACTGATGCGGCCTACGAAGGGCAGCCAGGCACGGAGAGATGCGGGTTTGGGGGGCGTTCTTTTGGATGCACGTGGCCAACCCTTGAAATTCTTCTCCCTTGAGCTTACAAAGGACCAAAGGAAAGCCCTGGGGGAAGGTTGCATTTCTTCCATCATCTTCGAGGCGGAGCTGTGTGCTGCCATACTGGCAATGGTTCTGTGGAAGGACGTTTTGTGTGGTCGGCCCGTGGTCGCATACATTGACAACAACAGCGTGAGAGATGTTCTCATCAGTGGGTCAGCCAGAAACCGCATGGCCATAGCTCTCACGAAGTTGTACTTGACGGTCGAATCCTTGTCCCGTTCATACCCTGGTTCGCTAGAGTCCCAAGCCCATCCAACAATGCCGATGAGCATTCGCGCAAGCTGATTCTTGAATGGGGCGGACTGCGTGCTTCCGATTGCAGCGAAGCCCTGGCCTCCATCTTGGAAGTGTGTCCTCTCGTTCAGAGTGCCGGTTCAAACTGTTAGTCCACCTTCGGGATTCGTACCCTGCCTGTGCACACCTCCCTAGGAATTGTATGGGCTAGTCCTTGACCCGCAGAGTGATCGGTTAAGTTGGGGGTTAGCGCCGTGCATCTTTGGGTCTGCCTTGTCCTGTTGAGTGTGGGCCTGGCCCTCGTGTGTGATGGGAGCCAGCCTGGCTCCCATCTTTGCATATGCACGCCTGACTTGATGATCTTTCCCCAAGTCACCTATGGAAAAGTGAGCCGTTTGCATTGCATCTGAGATTCCGCTGCGCGTGAATTATACGAAGAGAAGTTTTATATTGAATAGTATTTCTTGAACACCAGGCTAATATACTTGAGTGTCTTGATGATGCCAAAGGTTTTTGGTTTGTTTATTTTTGGCACTTGGTTCAAACTTAAAAGTCGATGAAATTTTGAGGATGCTTCACACGGGAACGCAACTCTCCTCAAAATCTTGAGGATGTCTTGAGCGGGAGCGCAGTTTTGAACGAATAATCTTCAAAATTTTGAAGATGTCTCGAGCGAGAGCGTGATTTTTGAAAAGAAGCCAATCAAATTTTGAGGATGTCTCGAGCGAGAGCGCGATCTAGAGCAAAAATCGACATGAAAATCAATCTGCAAGACTAGTTTAAAAGGAGATCGACCGATCTTTCGATGAAAAATGATCAAACTTTCGAGGATGTCTCGAGCGAGAGAGCGATTTTCATCAAAAAAAAACAGGATATCTCGAGCAAGAACGCGATTTGGAACGAAAAATCGATGAAATTTTGAAGATGTCTCAAGCGAGAGCGCGATTTGCATCAGAATTTTGAGGATGTCTCGAGCGAGAGCGCAATTTTTGAAAAAAAATCAATGAAATTTTGAGGATGTCTCGAGCGAGAGCGCGATTCTTGAACAAACAATCGACATGAAAAGCAGTTTCGAAGACTAATTTAAAAGGAAAACGATCGATTTTTCGATCCATCATCTGCTGATAACCCCAGTGTTGTCGGTTGGCCCCAGTAATGGCTGATACTGACGATGCTGGCCTGGTTTTGGCTGTTGGTGGAGAAGCGACGGCTGATGCTGATGATGATGATGCTGGCCTGGTTTCGTTTGTTAGCAAACCCGCGACAGATCTTTTTTGCTCATGATTTTGGCCTTGTTTCGTTTGTTGATGGCCCCAGTGAGGGCTGATGCTGATGACCTCAGCGACGGCTGATGTTGATGATGTTGTCCTGATTTTTAGTTGTGGGGACTCCAGCAAGATCCATGATGCTTGCCTGGTTTCGTTTGTTCGTGACCTCAGCGACGTCTGATGCTGATAATGAAGGCATATACTGGTCTGGCAGGTCTTGATTTTCGATCACATTTGCGAGCGCATCTGGCATTTTCTGCAGCAGAAAATGTTTGTAAATGCGGCACATAACAAATCCTCAACATCACACAGACAATCAAATTGATTCGTTATAAAGCGCTGCACCCAATCCAAGAAGCATTTGCTCAGCTCCACAACCGCGCCTTATACAAGTCCAGGCGTCCATAGGTTCTGACTGAAAAACAAAAATATCTTTGCAAAATGGTTTTGAGAAGTCCCAATCTCTATACGCCACGCAAAAGCCAAGAGCCCAAGCCCTAACCCCAAAGACCCAAATCCAGAAGAGCAGCCCCAGCCGGGAGGCCCGTAAGTGTTTGGGGAGTCTATAATGGAAAACCAAATGGAAGCTACAGTAGTTTCAATTTGATTCTCCTCTATTTATTCGAAAATGGAAAACCAACTAGGAACTATAGTAGTTTCCATGTGGTTTTCCATTAATTCATCATGGAAATCAAATGGAAACTACTCTCTGGCAAAGTTTCATTGCAGCTTTGGGGAGCAATGATCTCCCAACGAGCAAGACTGAGGATTGCTGGAAACCACAAGCACGGGCGCAGGCGTTTAGCCCTCAACATAGGCAGACTCACATGATGCCGTCACCTGCGGCTGAGATGGAAGAACCAGTGCCTTGGATACCATTTTTGGATACGTCTTTCCGGAAATCGATGACTTCCTGCCTGCGTTTTGTAACACTTCAGGGGAGAACTGCCACACTAGCGGATGTTGCTTCTTATCACAAGACGTTTGGTTGCGAAATTTCCGTGGTTCGGACAGACTAGGCTCTGCAGACAGTAGAGAGCAGAGAAGAGTACTAGAGAAGATCAAATAGAAAACATTAGAGTGGAACCACTGGAGCAGTCCGGAGGGGGCGGCGAGCTAGCTGGTACAGTGGTCAGAGGCGGAATGGTTTGCATGGGAATGCCGATTGAACTTCGGGAATGTGAACGGTATCTATTGTCTCATCCTGTTAACCTGATTGCCAGCAAGTTGATGACCACTGTACTTGTTCTAACTCAGTGATGTCAGTTATAGCGAAGCCAGCCCCTTATTCTTTAGTGCAAGGTCAAGGTTGCTGGCTGAGGCCCCTGTGAAGTCTGAGCCTGAGGGCGTCTTCCTAACGCGGGTTGCAGACTTCCTCCCCAAGAGAAAGGTGGAGAGCACAGGGAGTGCGAAGACTCCAGATGGAGCCTTGTTCCGCTGTCAACGTTTTATTTTGGATTTGAGGGAACCAGCTGTTCCAAATGTCAATCTTGGAGACCTTGCTTGGCAGTCCAAGGCATTTGCGCTTCTGTGTTGGCTATGCTCACAGGACGCTTTTTGGCGTTGACTGACCAGCAGCTCCTTGAGGATAAAGCTGTGTCGAGCTCCGCCCGAGACAACCTGGTCAGTGAATGCACCAACATGGGTCTCTTGGTGTAAGATGGAGTGAAGCCGCAAGGGGATTTCAGAGTTGCCTATCCAAGATGATCCAAGGTCTGATCAGTGCCCTCATGATGACCATTGTGGTGCCCATGGCTTTCGAGAACGTGGACGACTGGTTGGAAGAGGACTATGCTGGCAGCGGCTTTGCCTTTCAAGATAGTTGGATCGGGCAGCAACTGAGTGAAAGTCAATTGCAAAATGCAGTGACAGCCCTTCACGACTTGAGCCTTCTTGGCTACTTCGTGGGCTCTGTCGGCTACCTTTGTTCGACCATTGTCACGGTGATTATCCTACTGTGCATCGGGGAGATCGAATCGGATGCCGGGGTGGAAGAATTCTTGCGGCGCGTTGGCAACGCCACCCGTATCCCGTGCCTTGGAGTTTTGGCTTTGGTGATTGAGGGACTCTTGAAACTTTTGTGGCTCTTGCTGCTTTGAACAACTTGCCTCTTACAGGGGGTCGCAACGAGATTGCAGGCTGATGTTGAAACCCTTTCATTTTCACCACGAAGGATAATCATCGCCTGAGGTACTTGTTCTGGTGGAATGGCTCCATCTTCGTCCTCCCCACGTGGGTTCGCTATTTGTGCTCCTGCAAGACCCTTGAGGGACTTATCACTCTGAGCGTTTCCAGCACGGCACTGATGGCCTGCCTCTTGATGTCCCTAAATCACTATGTGTCTTGGCGAGTTTGAGCATGGGGAAAGGAGATGGTCGTAGGTATGTGGAGGCTTCCAAGCGCAGCTCCCTTTCGTTTTCCAAGTGAAGGGGGCTTTTGGAACCTTTGGGTTTATGCCCTCCTCGATGTTAATATTTCCATTTACCTTTCCATTATTAGAACAAACAGAGAATCAAATGGAAACTATAGTAGTTTCCATTTGATTTTCCATTATACTAATGTTTTCCCCGCCAGGTACGTTGTTGCATGCGCACGCACAATTGCATCAACGAGTACGAGGCGCGGGCCGGGCTCGAGTGCCGTAGTTTCCTTTGTCTTTTCCGTTAATGGAGAGCAAATGGAAGCTGCTGTAGTTTCGATTTGCTTTTCCATTAATGGGAAAGCAAATGTAAATCACTGTTGCAGGACTTGCATCTGTCACAGAGCGAAGCGGAGGAGGATGTGAATGCCTGGTTCCAGAACAGCAAGGGCGGTAGCTTTCAGGATTGCTTGAAGGATATGGCAGCTCGCCATGGCAAGCTCATCATCTGCTTGGATCAGAGTTCTCAAGAGCATGTGGCGATGTACTACCACAAGAAAAAGGCTGAGAGTGTTGGAATTCCGCTCTCGCCAGCCGATCTCTACCGAGTAGCGTACGTGAGTCCAGAGCTTTAGGTGTTAGGCCTGGTTAGGGCCGAGAACTTTGATGCACGAATTAGCTGGATAGTTTTTTGGGGCACTTGCTCCCCACGAAGGATGTTCAAAGACGGACTCCTGCACTGCTTGGCTGCGAAGCCGACGCCTCGTCTCACCAAGGACAACTCCTCGGGGAAAACGGGCGGGACGCCGGGCGCAGAAGCGATACCCTTGGCATTGGAAGACAAAAAGACAAAAAAAGGGGCATCCGTAGCGATGAATCAGAGCCTCGGAGTAGTGAAACGCGGTGCGGATTGAGGCTACTCGTAGGTGGGAGGCTTACCAACAAAGCAAGGTTAAACGTGGTGGTGAGAATGACAGTTAATTAGCACCACAACCGAAACCGCAATCAACCTCAGCCAGCAGCAACTACAAGCAGTACACCACAACCCCGACCAGAAGTACCAACATCAACAGCAGCTACTTGTAGTATAGTGGTGCTGAACTGATACTGGATAGTGCAAAACACCAGCAGCGCTATGAACATGATTTCGCATGACATTGTGTGAAGCAACGCCGTGCAAGGAGCATTCTGACATGCTCGTTGATGCATTCAGTGCTCTATTATCGTGTTTCTTTGAGCGCAGGGATGGGATCACGCCATTTTGTTTTTACTACGTCAGCTGCATCAGTGGCCGAAATTCAGGCATGTAAACGTGCATGTTTGTGATCATATTTGGCAATGAACATCAGATCGATCGTGGCCAATTTTTCACAACAGTGTTGCGCTTTTCTATGCCATCCGTTCTTCTCTTTAATGACGTGTGTCATTATCATGGAAAACGGGCTCGGGCATTCAAAGCTTAGACTGTACCGGCAACATTCCACACAAATCCGTACCATCGTTCTTTTTTCGATGCGCTGCCGCTTATGAAATGTTTTGTGATGCACACCTTCAAGCCAGCAAATGCTTTAAAGGACCAAGGCAAAGAACAAGGCCCACGACAAAATGGGAATGCCCCCTCCAGAGCAGGAGTCAAAATGCTTGCAAGTGCATGTCTGCGCAGGTGCTGTCTGCACTGTCAGCCTCTACGAAATCACGGCATAGCATGGTGACATGGAAACTGTAGTTTATCGGCCATGTGAAGCAAAGCATTCGTAACAATGTGGCGCTGTTTTGCTCTTGTCCTAGGCCCAATCAGAAATCATTTTGGAAGCGCTGCCCTCCTTGATGTGGTGTTCCATGCACATGTCCCGAGCATGCACTGCTGCATGCTAGCTTCTTTCAGCAATGTGTTTGCAGCAAAACGGAGTTCTTCCGTTTCCACACGTGCGCCAGGTTGGCACAGCTCATGAAAAACATCGCGGTATTGTTCTCAACGCCAACGAAGCAGAAACATGCCCGGCTCGATGCCAACCTACATGCGTTGATCGCAGGCAACATGTTCATCCGACTTCTGATCAGTTTTCAAAATAGCTTATGCAACCCATCAGCCTGCGAATCCTTTATGCAGCCACTTAGCTGGACAATCGTGTTTGTGACGTCATGAAGCATGTTCAGGACACCGAAGCAAGCTTTCCGCAGCCAACCAACCCTTAAGATTGGAATCTGACGCGGTGATTCGTTTTATTTTTGTTTATGTTGTGGAATGCTGGGCTCACTAGCGTAGCCAGTAACATGCTGTTTTGACCTTTTTTTTTGCATAGTTTTACAAAGCCATCATATGACCTGAGTAGGTTAGTGCTTGTGACCTGAGTCGTCAAGTTTACATGCGAATGCGTAGACCAAGTGTGGAATGGTGTATCAAGAGGTTTTCTTGTTTTGGTTGGTTGGTTGTGGTACTGGTTGCAGCAGACTCTTTTCACATGCGGGGTGCTCATGCTCATGCAGTATGGACCGTGGCAGCACCCAAGTCGTGCAAGCTGCAATGAGAATGTGGTCCCTTGTATCGCAGCAAAACTCTGGAAGCTGCCCGGTCATGGCAAACAGAAACCAGTCCGAGTTGATCGCCTCCCCAAAGGAACAGATCGGGGGACACTCGGGCGGGCGAAAATCTAATGTGTGGCTATAGTGGTCCCTAGGCTGTGTGTGATCAGTGTGAGGTCATAAAAAAACTGGTTTGGGGTCAAAAAACACCAGCCTTCTTTTGAGCCTTCCATACGTCTTCGATTCGGACCAACCATGGCACTGACTTAACTGGAAAACCGAAAGCCGACCAACTAAAATTCTAGGGCTTGGAAGGGGGGATTGAGGCTCAAGAGGGAGCTTAAGGGGGAGAAACTTAAGGGGGGGGCCTTAAAGGGAGCCTGAAACGGGGTTAAGGGGGGACTTAAGGGGGCCGGCAAGAGATTTTGCAAAAAGAAATGGGGGTGAAACGAAAAATGGAGAGCTCCGCCGCCCCAACCTCCCCCGCATGGAGGGCTGCGCCCCCTCTCAAGCCTCCGGTTTTTTTTCAAAAGCCGAACACGCGCAGAACCTTGAAAGCTTCAACCGCAGGCCATCTTGGCATCTTCGCACAAACTAGCCAACAGAGGCACAAGCAAAACGTGTTAAGCAAAAAGGCAATAAGCAATAAGCGAGCGAGCTTAGGTCCACAGACAAAAACTAGACGAACAAGAACCTCCAACCCAAACCAACAAAGACCCACAAGATCCAGCCTCAATCTCGAAAAGATATTCAATGTATTACATGAACATAGCAAGCGTGGCATCCACCGAGCTTGAAGCAGAAGGCACTCTCTTCTATCACGGGGCTGACCAACTTTGTGTGTGGCTTCTATTACTTCCTGTACCAATATTGGTGACCGCCGCTGTTTCGGATCTGGGTTTCTGTTGTAGTTGCCTTCCTTGCGGTTTACTTGATGTTGTCTTGCTTTTTGTACCTCTCTCGGTTAGTAAACGCAAGAGCGCCAAGACTGGCCCAATTAGTCTTTTGTTAGAGTGGGAGACCGAAAGGCTTCTGACTTTCCTGCATGTTTTTTAGCCTACCAACCATCGGAATCGATGCACCAGCCAGCCCTCTCGTGCAAAAAAAATTGGTGACCGCCGTATTAGCATGAAATGCCAGAAAATCGATACCCCTCTCTGGAGAACTGACTGAAACCCTAAATCCAAAACCCTTCAACTCTAAACCTAAATCAAAAAATCCTAAACCATAAAACCAGAACCCCTAAACCCTAAATCAGGCCCCTGAAACCTAAATCCCAAAACCCTAAGTCCAAAACCTCTCAACACTAAACCTAAATCCGAAAACCTTAAACCCTGAAACCAGAACCCCAAAACCCTTAAACCCTGAATCCAAAACCCCTAAACCCTAAATTCAAATCCCCTAAACCCTAAACATTCAATCCCAAACCCCTAAACCCTAAATCCAAAACCCCTACACCCTAAACCCCAAACCCCCATACCCTAAACCCTAAAGCTTAAGTCCAAAACTTCTTAAACTTATGGCATAGGCTGCCCACCTTCGATGATGGGCGGCGCTTAAGTCCGTCGACATCGATGGCGCAGGTCGATCTAGCATGCTTGTCTGCCTTCCCACAGCCGGTACTGTAGCACCCACGAGAGGCAAGGTACCAGATCCTCCCTTCCAAGGCCTTGGAAGGCCTCCGTCTTGCAGCTTCAAGCCTTTGGCCCCCAAAACCTTCCTCAGTATTCTTAGAGGGGCATGCCAGGGGCCTTCAAACCCATTTCAACAACGACAACATACGGTAAAGATGACTTTGTGGTGTTGACCAAGATGGACCTAACAGCGTTTGGTCCTAAACCCTAAAAGGTTTGGGTGGCTTGATGGCCTCAGACGGCGAGGGGTGGGCGAATGTGTTGGATGGCCAGCCACAGCCAGGCCATGGCAGCACTTCACGTGCAGCCATGCGCTTGAAGAATCGCTGACACCCAATCATCACTGCCTGCGCGGTAACCACAGCAAACTCTAAACCCTAAATCCAAACCTCCTAAACCCTAAACCTTAAATCCAAAACCTCTAAAACCCGAAATCCAAAACCCCTAGATCCAAAACCTCTCAACCCTGAATCCAAAACCCTAAACCCTACACCCTAAATCCAAAACCCTAAAACCCTAAATCCAAAACACCTAAACCTGTAAACCTAAATCCAAAACCCCTAAACCCTAAATCCAAGCCCCTAAACCCTAAACCCCTAAAACCTTAAACCCTAAAGACAAAACCCCTAAACCTTAAACTTTAAATCCAAAACCCCTAAACCCTAAATCCAAAACCTCTCAACCCTAAACCTAAATCCAAAAGCCTTAAACCCTGAGACTGGAACCCCTAAACCCTAAAACCCCAAACCCCTAAGCCTTAAACCCTAAATCCAAAACCCTTAAACCCTAAACCCCTAAACCCTAAATCCAAAACCCCTAAACCCCTCAACTCTTAAACCTAAATCCAAAAACCTGAAACCCTAAAACCAGAACCCCTAAACCCTAAATCTAGAGCCCCTGAAACGTAAATCCAAAACCACTAAATCCAAAACCCTTCAACCCTAAACCTAAATCCAAAACCCTTAAACCCTAAATCCGGAATCTCTAAACCCTAAATCCAAAACCCCTAAACCCCAAACCCCTAAACCCTAAACCCCCAACCCCTAAACCCTAAACCTTAAAACAACACCCTAAACCTTAACCCTTAAATCCAAAACCCTTAAACCCTCCCTAAACCCTAAATCCAAAACTCCTCAACCCTAAATCTGAAATCCAAAGCCCTAAACCCCAAAACCAGAACCCCTAAACCCTAAACCTTAAATCCGAAATTCCTAAATCCACACCCTAAACCCAAAACCCCAAAGCCCTAAACCTTAAACCCTGAAGACAAAACCCTTAAACCCTAAATCCAAAACCCTAAACCCTAAATCCAAAACTCCTCAACCCTAAACCTGAAATTCGAAACCTCAACCCTAAATCCAAAACCTCTAAACCCTAAACCCTAAACCCTAAACCCTAAATCCAAAACCCTACACCCTAAATTCAAAACCCCTAAACCCTAAATCCAAAACCCTTAAACCCTAAATCCAAAACCCCTA